ATATATCAATAAAAAAACTAGATCATTTTCAACTTTCACACCTTTCAAATCCTGTTACAAGCTACTTTCAAATCATGAAATATCTTCTGAGCATTTGTCTTGTTGTTATGCTGGCACATTTGGCAATTTCTGCCCCATTGCAAAGTGAATTAATGGAGTTATTGGACAGCAGAGATGAGGGATTGATGGAAACTCTTCTACTGAAAGAATTATTGCAGAAGGTATTCAATATAGAAAATTTATTCCATAAACTTTATTGTACTTTTCTTTTTAGCGAAGTATCAGTAGAAGTAAGTGCAGAGCTTGCAAACATACCAATTCTGGTCGTTGTGCTGGATACGAAGGAATTTGTGCTGAATACTATGATATACATATCTAATATCAGAAAGAAGAGGAGAGAGAAAAAAACTTTAAAAGCTTATCTGAAAATCAACAAAAGCTCCACACTGTCTATATTTGTTTTTTTATTAAGGAAAAAACAGTAGAATGCACAATTTTTTAAAAGTATAAGGTTTTTATTACGTCTGACTTTTTTTCTCTTTAATACAAAAAATCCATATATCTTTGATACGATTGTCTTATATCATTTGAACAACACAATGACCTACTTTTCATCCAGTTACTAGCTCCATTTGGAAAATGGGCTCTCAATCACTAAATTACAGAGACTGATGAGTTATTTTGGAGTGAGATTTTAGGTCGGGAATGGGTTAGGAAAAGTATTTAAGCAATTCATTTGTAAATAAGTGGGTCCAAACTAAGGGTTAGAAGTAATGAAGTGCCTTAAACAGGGTCAAGGGTTTTGTTATGGTGAAGGTAAAGCCTCAAAACTGGGCATTTTCAACAACATCCCTAAATTACACATTTAGCTTAATTATTACTTTATTTTACTGACAGTTTTTAAGATGAATCTACTTTAAAACCTTTATACGTAATATTTAACAGCCATTTTTGATGTGAAAATGTCTAGAAGAGGGAAACTATATTTAGAACATATGTCTATATCAAAGATAATAACAGTAAACAAGTTTTAACGCTATTGTTATGAAGATTTTATATTTCAATATCAAAAATTTTTCAATATTTAAGTTTTAACATGACTGTTAAATATTATTTTTAAATTTTATAAAGTAGATTTATCTCAGAATTTTAAAAAATTGTGAAAACTAAAAAGGAACAATCTTTGCAAAATGTTGACATCAAACATTGTGATGTTGTATATCTAAAAGAAGAAAATCGTTTCTTTGCTTTAGTTTTGACCAATTGGCGTTTTATGTATCTACCTGATACTGAACTTCAGCAAGTGCTTTCAAACGTAATCATTTGACTCAGACCTGAATAGTGATTTTATCAATTACATATTTCCAGAGTGCTTTTTCAATGTTGTCTATTGTAAAGATTCAAATGGCGATATTGAAGATAAATTGACATTGTTGAAGGCTTTCTATGTTAGTCTCAAATGTTTTTTTGCTTAATTCTTCTAATATGAAATGTTTTTTTACAGAAATGTTTAAAACCTGGCAACCGTATTTTCATATCAGATTGCTGCTTACGAGAAAAGCAGGTGATTTCCAAAGATAATCAAGCAAAGATAAAGAAAGAGTATCCGTTTTTTTTATGTAAATAACTGAGATTTTCTTAATGTTGTCCCGCTTATACTTTTAGAATTTGGTACTTTTAGAAAATCATTCAAAAATTCCATCATATGCAAACTTTTTATGTTTATGTTTCGGTTAATTTTTTAATTAAATAATCAATAATTTTCTTGAATACAAAGACTAATAAGAACAATAAAAACTTAAAAAACTAAACATTTCACATTAAAAAGAGTACTGAAGAGTTTACAGATGAATTAAACTCTCTGAAAAACGATAGAAATATGAATAATGAGAGGATCATAATTTTTGCAAGAAATCATCAATTAGAGTTATTGTCCAAGGGGAGTATTTGGACCTGGATGGTACTCCTAAAATGGGACCGGTCGAAAACGGCCATAAATGAAATATTTGAAAGTTAGATTTCAGCCTGGGAAATGGTTAGGAGGAATAAGATAACTGTTGATATGTTCTTAGGAGGGTCCCATCTAAGGGTTAGGGGTATTCAAAAAGGTTAGGCAAAAACAAGGCCTGGTTTAGGGTTAGGGTAAAACCATAGATTTATGGCCGTTTTCTACCACATCCTCCTAAAATTGCCAATGACCATTTGTTCAAATGTACTCTATTCTTGTAGAATTCATTCTCATATACTGTATATATATTTATTGATAAGAAATTATATTAACTGTTTAAGACAGTAAAAGACTCTCCCAGGGAAATAGTCTTAGACTATGAAAAGGCTTTTTGGAAAACTTTACAAAATATATGGCTTGATGCTATTTTCACTGAATGTTTATTTCCCTGGTTTCAGGCAATGTTTTGAAAAATACAGGTTCACTAATTTCTAAGGACATTCAATATTTAGATCATATGGCAAGTTTGCTAGTCTTATACAATTATCTAGAGATGGAATATCTTCACTAGGGGGCCGACAGAAAACGTCCCTAAATGAGATTTTTGAAAGCAACATTTCGGATTGAAAGATGGTTAAGAGGAGTAAAGTAGCTTTTTATTTATAGTTAGGGGGGCTCCATCTAAGGGTTAAGGGTAATTAAAGAGGCTAAGGAGAGACAAGGGCTAGGTTAGGGTTAGGGTTAAACTGTGCATTTGGAGACGTTTTTTGTCGTATCCCTTCACTAGAACTGCAATGTTTTACCAGAACATTTTCAGCTAAACATTTTACTGAACAAATAATATCTTTATTACAAGCATTTTTCATTACTTTTAAGCTTTTAAATGAATAATTCTCCTTCTCACAATCAAGTTTTGGAGAAGATACGAATGACACTTCCATCAAATTAGTTTGTTGACCAATGAGATCTTCAACTATATCACCATTGATTCTATGATACAGCCAATACTATCAGTTTCACAGGTATTTCCACATTGATTTTCCATAACAATTCTATGCTCATTTGTATTATTTGCTGTATGGAAATTTGCTTTTTGATTTCTTTCTACATTAAGAGCTGCACTATAAGTTAGTCTTTGCAGTGTAACTACGTATTTCTTCATTAATATGTCACAACAAATGTTGCAATAAATTGATTGATCTGTTAAAACATATAAATAGATATTTGTCAGGACAGTGAAAAAAATTCTCAAGGAGTAAAATTTTCACAATGTTCACTTTCCATGGAAAATATACAGGATCCTAGAATTGCTTTCTTCGCATAGAAGATGTTTTCTCCAATGGACATTTTCTCGAATCAGTGGACGTTTTCTCCATAATTTGCTATAACTGTCATATAGCATGATTGATAATCAATTCAATAACATTCAGAATGAACTCGAAAAAGAAAATAAACTCATTGATTTGTTGGAATATATTTCTAATACATGGATAAAAAAGTTCATTGTGGCCTCCAGAGACTTGGTCTGTTTTTGATAAAAGTATCAGAACAAATAATGATCTGGAAGATTACCAGAACAGTCTTAACAAAATTATTCAAGAAAACGTTTCTTTCTATTTGGTCATGAAAAATGAATTGAAAATGGGCGAAGACCTAATGAATGGGGTTGACAGAAAATTGAAATAAATTGCATTTAAATGTAAATATATTTTGAAAAAGTAAAATTTTGATTGGAGAATATGTTAAATATTAGGTGCGATTGCACATTATTATGTAGAGATTTTGTATTTTTAACTATAATAGTGAACTAATTTTAAAAATATTTTTATAATATTATAGCCTATAGTCTACTCTGGAACAATTAATTATTTTATTTTTTAGTAGTCCCCCTATTGTTTATACATGTCTGCCATTTGGATGGGCTGTTCCAATAAAAGGAGAATGGTTTTTTACTCAGAAATTCCCTGATGTATTTGGTCATTTTTAGCTTTTCTTTCAGGTGGTGATGAGTTGTATTTATATGTCAAAGAAGACCTTTTTGATTCTGGGTCATCTCCAGTAACAATTTTTTCCAAAAATGCTTCTTTTTCTGCCATGTACCTTTAAGTGGTTCAATGACCACATCTTGGCAAATCTTTAAGATTTTTCTTCCTTTTTTATCATAATAACCCACCTTCTTACTGAACCTTCACTCAGAGTTTCATTTTAACTGTTTGTGAATATTCTTTGAAGAGGCCTTCTCATGGACTAAAAAAGCAACTGTTGATCAGAACATATAGCCATGACTTGCAGTTGCTTACTCCAAGATAATTTTGTACTGGCTTAACAGAAGTGAATGAAAGTTTGCACAATGAAAGTTCCAGGCAAATTTGAGGAGAAAATACCTACTCCTATATTGATAAAAATAGAGCAGTATGAGCAACACACCAGATCCATCCCTTTTAGTTTCTAGAGATAACTGTGACGAAAAAATTAATATTTGTCCAAAGGTTTATATCAAACTTTCAGCAGAATACCAGTATTTAAAAACGACATTTGGGAAGCCCTAGATTTTTAATTCAACCCTCTAACTACTATGAAAGAGAAATTTCTTACTTCTCCTCTGACTACTAAGATGAGAAACAATGTCAATACATAAGGAAAGATGTGTGAAGTATGGAAACTGTAAATAGCTCATTAAAAAATCTGTTTACATGAAAAATGAGTTGCTTAACTAATTCTTCTGTTAAAAGGGTAATAGATCAATACTTTCAATTTTGCTGAATCATTACAAATATAAGAAATATATTAATAAAATATATTTGAAAATATGATATCCGTACACATATGAACTATTTTATAGAGATTATATAAATAATACTTACTATATAGTAGAAGTGTTAAAGTAGATGTTGCCTTTGGGATATCTCTCTAAAATGTGAAATATGTATATTTTGCTTTAGTTTCCATTTTCCAAAATTATGAGAACCCCACAGATTGAAGACTACTGTACTAAGTGTCTAAAAGTTTGAAGTAACATCACAAACAGTTATGTTTCTTCTTGATCCTGCAGGAAATCATAAAATGCTTGACAATGATTCTTACACCAACATTTATATGAGCAACAAGTAACATTTGCTCAAGTTAGATCGCATAAATAATTCCCTTTAAATTTAGCATTAATCTAGTAATCTAGTGGTGTGCAGACCAAAAGACTTTTTCTTCCAAACATTTTGTCCAACAAAGATTATTGTTGGAAGTTGGCAATGGAAATCTAACATTTATTGGTAATTTGCTTACATTGTAACAGGTATTACAATCTCCATCAAATATAGAATGTTACAGTTTGCTGATTATGGATTAGTGTTAGGGTTAGGTTAGATATTCTGATATCTGAATTGGAACTGTAGAATTTTCTAGAATGCCTCTAGCTGTCCATTTTGGGTTGATCTGCATGTTCTTGTGAGTTGCAGTTCCATCCTCCTGGCAATTTTATGTGGTCTACCAGACCTATGCAGGTCATCTATTGTTTTAAATTGCTTGAACAATATTTGGAGACCAAATTTTTTTTCAATGACACTACTTATAATTATAAGGTCATAGTGACAGTGTTATAATTACTTAATAGTGGTCTAAATTGATAGTATTGTAAAAAAAGAGTGAAAAACTGATGATTAAAATATAGATAATTTAAAAAATTTTGCCTGATGTTTCATAAGTCATCTCTCTTACAGACAAAAATATTCCTAACCATAAACTCCATTTGTAAATCAAGATATTTGGATTTTTAGACATTTTTACTCTTGTTATAATTACTTGATATCGCGACTGTATGTAATACAGGACTTCTTATATGTCAGTGTTTGTTTAACTAGTTTTTTTCTACTTCTAACTAGACCTCCATTTTGTAAAATTCTTTGTCAATCATTTGAACGGATTACGTAATCGTGTTTACAAATATTTAGTAATTGACACAGTGATTTTTCTATTTTTAGAATATATTAAGTAATATAGTGAAAGAAAAATTTTGAATTATGGGATTTTTTTTTCAATGTCGACGTGGTCTAGGCAAGTCTATATATATACATTTTCTCTTTACATATCATGAAGATATCAGAATTTATACAGAAAACTATAAAAAATAAATAATACAGACATTTTAAAATGGAAAATTTGTCTTGGATTAGTTGCAGAAACATTACAATTTCCAAGAGAAGAATCTAGTTTTACAAACAAAATATAATATCAGGAGAAAACATCAACAAATTGGAGAAAATTTCCACAGAAAAAACAGTTTCGAATTGGAAAAATCGTCCTCAAATAAGAGAAAAAGTACCAAGGAAAATGTCTTCTAAAATGACTAAGTCTTTCCAAAAGAAGATATATTTGAATGACAGTTGCAATTTTAAACATTTTGTGTAAAAAATTTATTTTCTTTGCTTATTAATCATTTTTCGCAATGTTTTATATCTAACCAGTAAAAGCAAATACAATATTTAGATTCTCTTTATCTCTCTCTCTCTTCTTTTACATTCTTGATTGAGTATGGGAAAAAAAGTCTGAAGGAGTGGAAAAAGATATTTGAATGGTAAAAAAATTGCTCTATTTTGGGAGCTAATGATAATATAGTGAGAATATAATAATCAACAATTAATATATATTTATAAAAATATATTAAAAATGAAAAAAGCTAACAATTTTATACAAAGTTTCATATTTTTATCTTTCAAAGTTATGTCTTAGTCTATTATCATTTTCTTAGTAATATATGTATATACAGTATATCTACAATTTCATGGGTACGGTTTCACTAAAACGGGTATGATTTCACCCCTATTCTTTTAAATGTAGCTAAACCACTCTCATTCACCAATTTGCCAAAGTGTTCAAACAAATAGATCCCTTCAAGTCCATCCAGAAATTTTAACAAAATTACAAGTATTTTGCATAAAAAAATTTATTGAAAAAAATTAGTTTCTACTTCTAAACAAGCAAGTTTGAACACACAAACTGATACTTTAAGAACTGAATAATCAACTGCTAAAATTGTAGAGGTACATATAATCTTTAAAAATCACAACAGTAGGCATATTTTTGTTCGATTCTTTTTCTTCAAACTATCTTTAGAATGCAATTTCTTTGATGATACGCCTTCAGTGGTATGCTTTTCATTTATACTTTTCATTAAGCTGTCATCCAGAGATAAAACTACATTCATATTCTGTTTTTGACTTGCTTCCAGCGCAAGAAAACTAATGCTTGAATCAAAGTTACATTTCCTTAATAAAATTTTTGACAAATTCCTGCAGTTTATCTTAATATTCTCAAAGATACTTTTTCCAACTTTGGTTTCAAGAGGATTATCTTGAAGACTTAATGCAGTTAGACTTATTTGTTTACCAATTGCCTCACCAACAACAGAACCAATATCTGATTTAAAGTTACAGTTTTCTAGTTTTAATATGGATAATTTAGTGCAATTTTCTTAATATTTTCAAAGATATATCTTCCAACTTCTGATCCCAATTATTATGTGAAATGTCCAAATAAGTAAGTTCTCTCTGTTTTCCAATTGCATCTCCAATAACACAACCAATGTTTGATTCTAGTTCACAAGAAGCAAAACTAATTGTTATTAAATACCTACAATTCAACTTAATATTTTCAAATATACTCTTTCCAACTTCTGAACCAATTTTATTATTTTCAAGCTTCAACCATTGGAGTCCAGTTTGTTTTCCAATTGCATCTCCAATGACACAGCCAATGTTTGATTCTAGTTCACAAGAAGCAAGATTGATTGTACTTAAATCTGAGCAATTCAACTTAATATTTTCAAAGATACTCTTTCCAACTTCTGATCCCAATTTATTACCTTCAAGATTCAACCATTTAAGTCCTTTTTGTTTTCCAATTGCATCTCCAATGACACAGCCAATGTTTGATTCAAATGCACAAGAAGCCAGATTAATTGTAGTTAACCCATTGCAATTCAACTTAATATTTTCAAAAAAATGTCTGCCTACTTCTGTTCCAAGTGAATTATTATACAGATGCAATGTGGTAAGGTTGGTTTGTCGTCCAATTGCATCTCCAATAACGCAACCAATGTTTGATTCTAGTTCACAAGAAGCAAGACTGATTGCACTTAAATCTGAGCAATTCAACTTAATATTTTCAAAGATACTCTTTCCAACTTCTGATCCCAATTTATTACCTTCAAGATTCAACCATTTAAGTCCTTTTTGTTTTCCAATATTGCATACCAGCACTCAAAAATTAAGCAAGTTATCAGTTCACTGGAACAGAAGCAGGCAAGGTATGATAACATGGTCACTGTTGCAGAGAAAAATGGCATTGTACCCAATTTATCTGGAATTAAAAAGTTTTTCCATAGTTGGTACTATAAACCTGGGAAAACACTTTATGTTATCATACGAAATATTTGTTTGAGTATTGTAGTGTCAATGGTATGTATCATCATTTTCAACTATATTATTGGAAGAAGAAAACAAAGAGAAGAAATTGCTACCCCAAGTGAGAGCACAGATAACTCTCCTGAAAACCCAAAACTAATGAAACAAAGTTGTAGCTTTAGTCAACATCAAACTAATGAAGAAGAACAACCACCTGTAATTCTCATTAAATCAAGATGAAGGGACTCATCTTCACAAAGAAGGGGGAAGTTGTACAACTTTGGTTATATTTTACATGCTTGAACTCTATTATTTTATGCAACATATACATGTACATCTTAAAACCTACTCAAGAAAATGCTATAACATTGGCCAAACATAAGTCTGATTAGTCAGCTTGAAGGTTCATCTTTAATTACCAATAAAGGTTTGGCCAAGTTATAATTTAATTAACTTGCCTAGGGTGTGGCCAAGTTATAATTCAATTAACCTTCCTAAATGTTGAACCTTGTAACATCCTGTTACTAAAGATAAATATGAACTACACATTTCGGCAACTGTAAAGTGATGATTGGATGTCAGAGACAAACCTCAAAGTATATAAATCCTCATTATTCTCATTTGGCATGCAGCTTCCATCTGGACCCAAGGACCTGGGAAAGTCATCTGGAAACAACCTCCACTGGAACCATCCATCTACTCCTCAACATTAGAAGACAGTTTGGTAATTTGGCAACCTGCTTTTACAAACTATCTACTCTGCTATCGAACTCTCCTATCGTTACTTGCTTAAGTATTATTATTGCGAATAAACCGTTTTAATTTAAACATTTGTTTAAAGGTTCGAGTAGAACCAGTATTGTTATAACTTGCAAACGCATAGATTTTGCCAGCAAGAGCAGTACAAGTGGATTGTCTGAAAGATTCAGTTGAGAGAGCTGTTTTTGCTTTCCAATTGCTTCAACAATAGCTTCACCAATATTTGATTCAAGATCACATTTTATTAGATTTATTTTAATTAATTGCTTACAATTATCTTTAATGTTTTCAAATATATTTCTTCCAACTACAGATCCCACTGCATTGTTTCCAATGTCAAGGACACTTAATTGTTTTTGCTTGCCTATTGCTTCACCAATAGCGGGTCCAATATTTGAATCAAATCCACAGTTGTTTAGATATATTTCTGATAATCTTGTGCAATTTGCTTTAAGATTTTCAATTAAATTTTTTCCCACTTCTGTTCCAAGTGGATTGTTTGACAGATCCAGTGCAGTGAGATGTTTTTGCTTGCCTATTGCTTCACCAATTACCAGGCCAATTTGTGATTCTATTCCACAGTTATTTAAGCAAATACTTGATAATTTTGTGCAATTTCTTTTAATGTTTTCAAAGATTCCAATGCCAACTTCTGTTCCAATTGGATTTTTTGTCAAAGATATTCCAGTAAGCTCTGTTTGCTTACCAATTACTTCACCAACTATTGGACCAATTTCTGATTGTAATCCACAATTATTCAGACAAATTGTTGACAAATGTGTACAGTTAAATTTAATATTTTCAAAAATATGCTTTCCAACTATAGTTCCAAATTTATTATCTTGCAGAAAAAGTTCTGTTAGTTGAGTTTGTTTACCTATTGCTTCCCCAACTATTGGACCAATTGCAGAATCAAATCCACAGTTGTCAAAAGCAATTTTGCTCAATTTTGTGCAGTTAAATTTAATATTTTCAAAAATATACTTTCCGACTATAGTTCCAATTTCATTATGTTGCAAATACAGGAGTGATAGTTGAGTTTGTTTACCTATTGCTTCACCAACAATTGAGCCAATTTCAGACCCAAATCCACAGTTGTCAAAAGCAATCTGGATTAATTTTGTGCAAGTTCCTTTAATATTTTCAAATATATTTTTTCCTACTTCAGTTCCCAGAGGATTATTTGAGAGTTGTAACACAGTAAGGTCACTTAGCTTTCCAATTGCTTTACCAGCAGTATTACCAATATCTGATCCCAACCCACAGTTAGATAGGTCAATGCATGCTAATTTTGTGCAAGTTCCTTTAATATTTTCAAATATATTTTTTCCTACTTCAGTTCCCAGAGGATTATTTGAGAGTTGTAACACAGTAAGGCCTTTTTGCTTTCCAATTGCTGCACCAACAACATTACCAATATCTGATCCCAATCCACAGTTAGATAGGTCAATGCATTGTACAACTTTGGTTATATTTTACATGCTTGAACTCTATTATTTTATGCAACAGACTGATTGCAGTAAGGCCTTTTTGCTTTCCAATTGCTTCTCCAATAACAGAACCAATTTGTGATTCAATTCCACAGCTGCTTAGATTTATTACTGACAAATTTGTGCAATTTTTCTCAATATTTTCAAATATATGCTTTCCAACTATAGTTCCAATTTTATTATCTTGCAGAAAAAGTTCTGTTAGTTGAGTTTGTTTACCTATTGCTTCCCCAATAACAGAATCAATTTTGATCCAAATCCACAGTTCATTAGAACTATTGTTTTCAATTTTGTGCAATTTGTGTTAAGATTTTCAAATAAACTTTTTCCAATTTCTGTGCCAAGCAAATTGTTTGAGAGGTCAAGATGAAAAAGCTCTGGTTGCATTCCAATTGCTTCTCCAACAAGAGTTTCAACTTGTGATTCAATATCACAGTTACAAAACCCTATAATTGTCAATTTTTTGCAATGTTTTTTAATTATTTTAAAGATTTCTTTTCCAACTATTGATCCAAGAGAGTTATCTTCAAAATATAATTTAGTAATTTCAGGTAGTATGCTGATTGCCTTACCAATAATGTTAAAAATATCTGAATGTAATCCACATTTAGATAAACATATGCAGGATAACTGTATTTTTCTATCTATTATATGCTGAAATAGCTCTTTGCTTAATTGAGTACCAAACTGAACATTAGAAAAGACCATGCTTTCAAGATTGGGCTGTTGTTTTGTCATTTGAACAACAATATTTGGAATTTTCTGATGAAATGTGCAATTTATTATGGTGATCTCAGTTAGACGATAGCATTTCTCTTTGATAGTGTTAAGTAAATCTTCAAAAAATTTCTCTGAAATATTTTTAGCATCAATTCTGAATTTTTGTAGTGTTTGAAAAGAGCTATTATTCTTAAAAGCATCTCTTAGAAGTGATCTTTGCTCATTATTAAAAGTATTTAATTCAAAATTTGTTTGCTCATTATTTAGCTCAGAATATGTTTGCAATGTGTCAATAACAATTGATTGGCTTTCTTTGATTATATACAGAATATTTTCCAAAGTAAAGAAGAATTTGTTGGAAATTTTTAAGATTTTACTTTCTAACATATCTGAAAAATCATCTAGTATTTTTCCAATGAAAAACAGATTGAATGCTTCTGAATTAAGCATTTTTCCAATTCCTTAAAATTGATTTTAGTAATACATTGAGGATTGAACAATGAATTTAAAATATCCAAGTTGTCAAAATTATTAATAGCTTGACAAATTTGAATGACATCTTTCAAATGAAAATTACAATTGTGTATATAGAGTTGTCTAATTAATTTTTGATTTTCAAAATTAAATTGTTTGAAAAAAGATAAAAGGGATGGTGAATCAATTTTGTTATATGATATGTCCAATTTTTTTAAAGATGTAAATGTATGAATATGTTTACCAAGTTCAGCTAGCTCTTTTGGTGTTATATGACAATTTCTTAATATTAAACTTTCAATTCTTTCAAGAGATTTTGATTTAAACAGATTTTTAATAACTAATGCTGCATTTATATTGGATATATCTAATTGTTTGAAGTAAAACATGCCATTGAACAGTTTATCAATGTCATTTGAGTTCAATTCAAATTCACACGATTGAAATTTCCAGCAGAGATTTACAATCTGGAGATTTTCAGTCTTGGACTCTACTTGTCTTTCATCCCATTTATTATAAGAGTTTGACAGAATGTTAACAACTTGTGAAGAAATTCTAGACTTTCTTAAACATAGAGAGTATAAATATTTTGAACTTTGTGAAACTTGTTCAAAAAAGTTAGCTATACACACACATTGAATACAATTTTCTCCCATATCCAAAGATTTTAGATTTATTAAGTTTTTTTTATTTTCTGATAATTTTTGATCTCTCCAAATGTTTTTCTTATGGACTATTCTTGGCAATTTTAGATGTGTCATATTTTGCAATGATAAAAGAACAGTAAGAAAGGAATTTTCATAGCTTTCCTTCACAACATTTCCTTTCAACTCAAGAACTTCTATTTGTTTATTTAGCTCCAAAAAATTTTTTATCACTTCTGAATCAAGCTCTGTATTGCAATTGTTAATTTGCAAAGCTGTCATTTGTCTATATTGATTTGCAAATATCATATAACCTTTATCAACTGGAATTATATTATCTGAAAAGTTGAGAGATGACAAGTCATTGAGGTTTTTAAGATGATTTAATATAATTTTTGATTGTTTTGATGAATCAAAACATTTTGAGAGATTTAATGAGATAATATTTCTGTTATTTATAAATATACCATCCAAGCGATTATCTACAAAAGTAATTATTGTTTAAAAAAACAGAAATATTTCTTTAAAAAATAGCCTTACCTGTAAATAAATTTTCAGAAACATTGAAACAATAAAGACAATTAAATTTAATATTGAAAAATGTATCTGAACAATTATGTAAATTACAATTTTCCAATGTTAAATCTTCCAGACATGTTGAATGTATAAAAGATGACAGTTTCAAACAACCATTGAATGAAATATTAGTTATATTTAAAACTTTCAACTTTTTCATTTTTCTCATTAAGTTTTCAAGTATTTCAATTTTTATTAATTCTTCAACACCTCCATAGAGTTTCAAAATTTCTAATTTATCTTCTAATTGGTTAACACAACTTTCTATAAAATGTGGTAAATTCATCTTGACAAACTTAAGATTAATGACTTTAACATTTTTTTGATAACAATCAAATAGAATATCAATTATAGTCGATGATAATGAAATTTCCTCCAATTCAATTGAGTTTTTATCCCTTGTATTAATTACTTCAATAATTCTTTGATCAGTTTCCAATACCGTGAGAATATTTTCATTCTCTTCAATCATTTGAGAAAATACTTTACTGTTTATTTCTTGAATGAAGCTGAAAACATTCTTCAATAGAAACAGATTTTTAAACTTATCAAAATAGGATTTTAATGATTGAATATTCATTTCATTATTAGTGCCTTCTTTGTATAGATTAAGAATGTATCTTGCAGTGAGATATTCTTGAAAGAAGAAGTGTATAAATGTAAACTCTTGCAAATGGGTCACAACTGATCTTTTCTTAACTGGAATCAATAATCCACCAATGAAATCTGACTTCTGTAAAATTTCATTTATTGATATTTTTTTATTGTTAAGTAAATTTTCAAAGGCAAGTTTTGAACAGTAGTCCAATATTTCAAAATAAACATTACTTTCTGAAACAATTCCAGCTTTGGAGAGAAGAATCTGTATTGTTTGATCAAAGATGGAATATTTATTAGATATAATGTCAGTTTCCCTTTCCTCCCATATACCAGCTACTAAACATGCCATTAATGGATTATTACAAATCTTAAAGACTTTTAAGTTTTCTGTTTTTAGAGTTTGGAATAGTATTTCAGACTTTTCTGCCTTTTTTTGATCAAGAGAATCATTTATGGGCTTTACAAACGGTTGGTACTCTTCATTGAAAAATTTTTGAAAATACATTTTCAATTGGCTTTCATTGAATCCATTAATATCAAATACAAAATCATAAGTGTCGCTAACCTCTTTGATCTTCCAATTTCTTGCCCAAACAATTATGGGATAGGTTGTAAAATTACACTTTTGTACTATGAGATTAAATATTGAATCTTCATATTTAAGTTCATCTGCCCCATCCAAAGTAGAATCATCTTTTCTTTGCATTCTCTCCCTTCAAAAAAGTATTGAAAGAGTTCTTTGGTTACACAGGAGTCTGTCTTAAAATTACTTGTAAACAGAACATCAGCCAAAGATTGTTCACTGGAATTACTTTGAACATCTCCTAGTTTAATATATAAAAGGAGATAATTGTCCAAAAATGCGTCATCATGAACCATGAATGTAAAATTTTCATTGCATGATAAGTTTTACCCATACCAGCGTCTCCTCTAACTAGAATTCTTTTATTTTGCTCATTGATTAAAATCTTTTGAAAGGATTGAACATTACCAAAGTTTTCATCAACTATCAAGTGTTTAGAGGATACAAGTTGGATAGGTGTAAAAATCTTACTAAAATTAATATGAGAAGGATTTTCTTTTAAGAATGGAAATTTTGGAATTGTTTCAAAATCCTTGGACACTTGCTTTTTTCTCTCTTTTATTAAATTAGTCCAAGTATTGCTAATTGTTTCTGCAAGTCTTGAACATTTAACTGTGTTTATTTTAAGTAAGATTTGAAGGAATAAAGCTGTTGGTACATATTGAATATATTTCTTGAAAACATTTTCAAAGTCAAATTGCTCAGTTAAAAAATTCTCTTCAATCACTTTTTCCTGCACTAGGTAAGTTTGAAATTTTGTATCACCTTCTAAACATTTTAATATTTTTTTATAGTGATAGTTCAGTAGTTCATTTTCTACAGACTGAAAAATGCAAATTTATTACATCTTGTAGGGGATAAACAAGACAATGGCCTATTTAATAGTTATTTTTGATCAGTAATATGATGATTGGATGCTAAAGAGGAACATTACAGTAAAAAATCATCTGAAAGAGTAGATAAACTTTCAGGGTTTTAATTCCATCTCTCTCCAGTTTTTAACTCTATACTACTCAATCTACCTATTCAACTAACAATAGCAATTATCTAATGCTACAATAAATATTAATCTGCAATATCTTTGAGAGATTACCAATGTATAGTGGTGGACTAAGAAACTGTAAATTTTGATAGGTCAATTTTAAATCACCCCAAAAACATGTTTTTTTAGGCAATTTATATTGATAAAGGGTTATATTTATGTAATATTCAAAAAAATGACAAAATTATCATATTTGTGAATGCTAATAGGAAAAAATTTTTGCTAATTTTAATTAGTTTTTTCTTTATTTGGCCATGAAATGTTATTAACAGCACATCCATTTTGTTTCCGGTTTTGGATTCAAATTGACATCCTAAACAGAAATTTTTTTTGTCCAAACTAATTTTCAAAGTTAAGTAATCACTTTTGATCTATTTTAATAACTGTAGTTAACTTTAAATTCTATTTACTTAATTATGGCATGGGATAAAGAGGTTAGGAATCTGGTTGTTAAGAAATATGAGGAATTAGGAAAAATTAGGGCAACTGCAAGGGTTGATGTGAATCTCAAGACCATTCAGAGAGAGCTGAAGAGGCAAAATTATAATTATAAAAGGATTAGACAGAGAGTTGATCTCACACCTAAGGATTCAGCAAGAAGAAAAGAATACTGCCTCAAAACAATTGCTGAAAATCTGGACTGGTCAAGAGTGATTTTCACAGACAAGGCCAGATTCTCTCTGAGTGGGCCTGATGATTTCAGGACATGGACAAAAGATGGTGAAAAAAACTTTAGAGTCACTAAAAATATGGTAGGAGCTGGAGTGATGGTAACCATCATCCAAGTAATAATGTCTCATGGCCAAATAAGAAAAAAATCATCAAAAATGGATAATAAGAAAACAAAAACACTTATGTGAGAACAACCCTGGCCTAGACTTTTTATCAGGACTGTAGATAAAATTGACTTGTCAGAACAAAAACTCTGACCTACTTTTGAAATCTGTTTTTTGCAATTGCCTAGGCATATATTTTAATTAAACCATATACAGAACAGTATGTTGAAAATTGTTTAGATATAACAGAGTACTAATCAAATAAAATACATAGACCACTCTCATTAAAACCATCTTATTTCTTAGCTAACCCTGAGAAAAAATTACTTTCTCTACCCAGAATGATTAGAAGACTTTTACTTAACATAAATCATAAATTTGCTCTCTTTTCTGTAAGTATGAAAATAATAACCAAAACAAAATCTATGCTTTATGGTGTGACAAAGACTTTTCGCCAGTACTGTATAATTTACTGTAATTATATAAATTAAAAAAAAAACACTTACTTCTATCATATTTTTTCAACAGAATACAATTTACTTGTTCACTTATTTCATTAAGACCATGGATACAACAAATAAACATCAAGTACTGTACACATACAATCATCAGCTCTAATCTACAATAGATAAGTAATATTAAACCAGTATTTCACTGTGCTGATTACACTACTAGAGATAAAAATTGAAATGGCAGCCATTTTAAAAATGGATATAATATCCTTCAGGTATTATGAATATTTTGGAAAATACATTTATTGATAGCAGAGAATTCTTTTTTAGATAATCATCTGCATTTGATGTGATATCAGAAAATTGTAACGGATGTAACCTATACAAAATGGAAGAGAATTTTTTCAGAGTTTTGGTCTGTTTGCCAGAAAGAGGAAAAATGAGTAGAAAAGTTACTAGAATACAAACAAAGTATATCTTTCCCTTTTTGACTTCCACAAAAATAATATGAAATTTGTCTGAGCCTTCAGTATTCTCATTATTTTCAGTTTCATTTTCATGCAATAAATTTTCCTCCATATTACAAGTATTGTTAACTTCATTAAGACTTCAATTGTCTTTAACCATGTTATTAACAATAATATGTTAATATTAATATTTTATTTTATAAATGAAGTAAACAGCAAAGAGAAAGATATTTCTGATTAAAAGTATCAATAATTATGCCTAGTATATCTTTAGCCATGCATAGGACGTTTTTTTCTCAACCCCTCTTGATTTTGTCTAAAAATTTTCCATCATCAATTAAAGATAAGCTAATTCTTCTAAAATACAATCATGTAAATCTTATTAAGTAAGTATAACAAATGTAGAAATTTCTAAAAATCTAAATAGATGGAGAAAAGTTATCTTCAGCAATGGAAGCAAGATTGAACTGCATTCCTGTCAAAAGGAATATGTTAGAAGGCCAGTTGGTAAAAGAAACGATCCAAAATATACCAGTAAAACAGTAAAATTTGGATTTATAATATATAGTGGAGAGAGAGGACCCTGAAAAGTTCCAACTAGAATGAATGCCAATGGATATATAGATATACTCTCAGAAAATGTATGGTTTCTTTTCATAAAATTTTATCTAAATTGTATTTCAAACGCCATCTAGTGTTTAAAAGATCAATTTATTAGTCTTACAACTTGTTAATTTTTGCATTAAAATCAGCATTTTGAAGAATTTTAATACATAAAAAAGGTCAAATCAGTAATGTTAAATTTTCCAAATAGTTTCTTTTTTTATTGAATATACTCGCTTCCCAAAAGCTCTTTAAACTTTTCCCTTATTTCACGACATTCCTCTTTATCAACTCCTTTATAATAGACTCTTAGTCTAATTTCTTGAAAATTCTCAGGTAAAAATTTACTAACTCTTTCTTTTTTAAGTTTAAAAGGTTTGTCTGGTTCAGATTTTTTATAGAAAAGGAATTTTTCAACTGGATTCATATTTTTCATATCTGGAGCAAAATTGAATATGGTTTTGTATTTTGTAAGTAATTCTTTTTTATCTTCTAAATGAAAAGTTAAGATTTCATCTACTTCTTTCATTTTATCATCATCGCTTACTTCAACAATACACCTGTAAAGTTTCCTTTGATGGATTCTCCTTAAAAGTTGTTGGGCATCTTTCAAATTGTCGTCAGTAGAATAAAGTATTCTTGAAAATATCTCATCAGTAAATTGATTAAAAGCGTCAACATTTTGGCATATTTCACCAAGTTTTACTTCTTCAATTTCTCCTTCTTCATTCTTTATTTTCAATTGAAAATTATCCGTTGCCATGATTAAAGCGTCATACATCCTAAAGAAGAGGGATTGGGGTATTATTCATTGAAAATTGTATTCATTACACTCACATTAACGCTATAGCTTTGCAAGTTTTATGCTGATAAGCTCTCTCATGTAGCTGTAATCTTGTATGGAATAATTCATAAATGCACTTTGCCTCCTTAATAAAGAAAAACTGGTAAAACTAAGAATATTTTACTTAAGAATAAAAATATTATACTTTTTCTCTTAAAGATATTTTAAAATTTTTATCATCTTTATCTTCGGAAACTTTTGCGAATTGAATAAAACGAGAATGATCAAATGATGATCTAATTCCAAGATGATAAGAATCCCTTGCAATGTAATCAAACCTATCAACATCTACTCCACTTTCCTTATTCCATATAATTTCATAGAGGAATCTGTAATGACAATTTTGTGTTCAAATTTTTCAAATTCTTGACATACTAATTAACTTTACTTTCTATTTCTAAATTTCACATCAGTAAATTCTCCAGTTTTTTTACCTAAAATCAAATCTCTAAGAAATTCTCTATCCTTCTCTTGAAATTGTTCTTTTTCGAATTCTTGTTGTAAATTATTTTCTTGTATGATTTGATCAAATATTTTTACTGCTAATTCCTTTTCATCCATATTGAAGTCACGTCTAAATTTCTCTCGAAAATCAGCAAGTAGAGGTGCATTTGCCAAATTTCTGCAAAGACCTCCCAAAGACACTAGAAGTATATCTTTTTCATCGAACCATTTAACGTCAGTTGTTTTAAGCGCTCTAAGCAGTTTAGTTGCTAAATAGCATGTTCCTAAACTATGTTCGAAACTGGTATGAGTAGCAGATGGATAAACAAAATGACAAGGTCCGAGTTGTTTAATATAACGCAAACGTTGAAATTGAGGCGTGTCAATGACTTTGATAAGTAGAGGATGGAATTCTAAATTTTTGTATATTATCTTCGATAGATTTATATATTAAACAATAAAAAAATATACAAACCCATGTGACCATGAACAGCATCATTAAAAACTTTCTTTTCCATCTCCAAAATGGATTGACAATCGTTTTTTAATTATATATTTTATTTATATATCTCATTGTTTTCAACAAATAATTTGACCTCTTTTTTTATAACACTGCTGATAATAATAATCATATTTATCTATCAAAAAAAATATCACGTGACCTGAATAATTTTCATAAATGTATTTCTTTGTTTTATTAATACAGCAAATGGGAGAATGTTTTCTTTGGCTAAAAGCATTATTTATAATGAATAGCATTTCTGAGTATATATCATTAATGATAGTTTATATCTTCCTCTCTCTTTCAGTTGAAGAAAATAGAAAATTTAAATTTGAAAATGAATAGAACAAACATAACTGGTATAGTTGAATTTGGAGAAATAGAATATATACTACTATTAACATTGTATTTTAGTCTCTTCTCTTTGGGAATATTACTCAATACTCTTATACTATTGATTATTTTAAAAAATAGACAGATCATTAAATCAATTGTAATATTTATTCCAGCAATAACCATTGCAGATATTTGTATTTTAATCTGGAATATTGCTGAATCAATTATAAGGGTATCAGTTGATCTGGAAAGTATACAACCAGTTTTATGTATTTTAACATATTTGTTAAAAGTAATTTTTTATGTTCAATCCCAAATTTATTTATTATTTTGTTTTATTTATAGATTTATTATGATTAAATATCCTTTACATTATGATAGATATTTCACTAATTGCAGATCATTTTTTACTATTTTTCTTATTATTCTATTCTCATTTATCTTTTGTCTTTTTCCATGTTATATTCCAATGTTTGGCTATAGAAAATATGCAATTTGTCAAGGTTATATGGTTTATAAAAATGAATATTTTTTTATATATCAAACTATTTTCCTTCCAAATATATTTGGAGCTTTAGTTCTACATTCAAAACTTTTGAAATTGGCTAAAAAACATGCAAATGATATACAAAAACAAACAAATAGGACTAAAAATATCTCCAAATCCTCTAAAGCAACTTTAATACAATTAGTCCTAATGGCTTCTCTTTGGATGTTATATTCTTTAACATTTGTTATATATTTCTACTATCCAACTGCAACGACAATAAAAATTGTAAACAGTGCAAATATTATAATTGTACTTCAATCTGTAATTAACCCTATAATAGCAATAATTGGAAATTCTTCAATTAAACACTCCATCTATAATCTCTTTAAACAAAATAGAGTGACATCCAGAAATATTTAATCAATTTTCTAAGGTAAAGAATCTCAATAGAATGTTTTGGCTTTCAAATTTTTTACCCACATTTTCAGAGTTCAGCTTTCAAAAAAAGTCTTGTAAAATTCTACTTTAATGTCATTGACCTCAACTAGAGTTTGGATAAATATAGAAGTATTGTAGGATATACTTTGAATATTCAATTATCAAAAATTCTATGCTGTTCAATGATTAACTTTGTACAATGAAAGCAGAAAATTTACATATCTTTAAATATTTTTGATTAAAGCAAGGAGATTTCAATGGCAAAAGAAAGTAGGTCATACTCTTGAAATAGTTGAAGTTTGTAGATTCAATTAAATTTAACTGTTTTTGGATAAAATCATCTGGCAGTATATTAAAGAATGCTTTGAATGTATATTTAATAAGTTTAGAGAATTTATGATTAATTAATATCTGGCAGTTATTGACTAATAAACAAAGAATGTTAAATGGGAGCAGGAGAAACTTTTCCCACATGATAAACTCAGGAACACTTTTCTTCTTCCAATATCTATGTTAAATTAATATTGATTATTTGGAATTTTATTCAGCAACTGGCTATAAAAAAATATGTTGGAACACTCATGACAAACTTTCCGTACGATGATACTTTGAAGCCAACTTCTTCTACAATATTTACAAGTTTGTCTGAATCAATGCAATAATGAGCAAATGTTTTTTCCCCTACTTGATAATTTTGCTGTTTTACAGCTCCGTAATCGTATAATACGCCACCTGGATTCAATTTATTGTATACATTTTTTAACGACTTCATCAAATCTTCCTCTGTTTTACAAGCAGACAGCAACACGAAATTCATGGAGATTACATCATACTTACTATCGTCATTTGGTATTATTTGATGATTGAGCAAATCCGACTGTGAAATTTTCTTAACACTTTTCAATGCATTTTCATTCATTTCGTTAATATCACGACCTTCTAAAGCTGAAACATACTGAACCAAAGTTCTTATGTTGTCTAGGTCATCTACAGTTTTCCATTTTTTCAAGCAGTCGATATTAACATCAGAGAAGTCGGATAATGTAATGTCATCGAATTTGATACTCGCTGAAAAAATTCCAATAGGTGAAGGACCACTCCCAATTTCCAAATATTTACCACTTTTTGTCAAACTCTTTATAAATCTATGAAGTTGAAATAAATTTGCGAAATTCTCTATATCAGGTTGTCTCCAATTGTTTATAAAATTTTCAGGCCATTCTTCATTGTTATAATCTTCTCTAAATGATGTCATTTTAGTGATTCAAAATTTTGTCCTAATTTAAAGATTTAAGGTTGAACTTTTATACAAAAAAGTTTTTTTTTTATAAAAGATTCAGAGCGCCACCTAGTTTTATTCTAGATGAATGTTATATTATCTTTTTAAAATGTTGCAAAATGACGTATTGACGGAATTACTTTATGTAAAGCACATTTGAATGTCATGAGAAAGATTTACTATGTAACTGTGTATAGGCAGGTTGCCAAATTGTTCCTAGTTCAATGTTAATATAGAGTTAGTTACTTGGGGAGAGGAAATTTACCTTACAAAATGAATATGCATTATACTTTAAGCCTAGTGCATAATAGAACATCATTCATTAAGAAAAACGATAATTTTAAAGCTTAGACAACTAAAGAAATTAATTAAAAAAAATAAGCCTATATTTTAGAATTACATCCCCCTCTCTCCATGCCTCTCTCTCTCTCTTAGCATATTGTATTTTAAGTGCAGGAGTGATTTATAAAGTTTAGTCATTGGCATGTGTTGAAAGTTGTCTTTTAAATGGTTTATTGAAAACATAGAAAGGCATGAAAAAAATATTTTAAAATATTTCACAACACCTCCAAAAGAATCACAGAAATATTTTGCATGTTTGAATTAGATACTTAAATATAAGATTTCTATGTCAATCTAAGCAGTATGATTCACAGATAACTTTGAAAATTCCATTGCTGTTTTGATACTTTTCTTTCATTTCCGGAATCATCGTTTCAAGAATTTTGTAAGTATTAAGTAAAGGTCAAGGACAATTTAATGAATTTATTTAATATACCACTAACTTGGGATTAATCATTAAGGTAAAACTGTAGATATCTCCAACAAACATCTATTATGCTAATGATCAATTAATAGCATGAATATTCGATAATATTGATTTTTTGTAACTATAATAAACTTTAGGAAATTCAAATTCTTCACATTGGAAAATTTTCTTGATTTCGTAGAAATATTTATCAACTGTACAGATTTATTACAAAAACATTCCAATTCCCCATCCATCTTCGCTACAGAAGTATTTAAATACTTTATCACCAGCACCAACAGGTATAGTAGCAGAGTAACTTTTTCCTATAATTTTCAATATATAGGAATTTTTTCTCAAAAATATAAAAATAAGATCTTTTAGTTATTTTACATACATTTTGGAGTCTAGAATGGACACCGAACGAATATAGTTGGAATACTTTTTGAAAATAACCAATACCATACATGTTTTTAGTACATATATTATATCCGATAGATGGCGTTATTAATACTACTTATTACAAGATTATGTAATAATAAATGTATGTGTGTTTGTGCATTGAAATTTCCAAAATATGAAAAAAAAAATTTTATTCCAACTCAGAAACATAGAACAAAGCGAACGAAGTTAATTTAATATTATTTTCACTGTAGATAGATTGCAATAATTCAACTGCAACAGATTGTCCTTGTTGCAGTTGTATTAACCGCCTCTACTGACTGTATCGTATGACGTATGAATTGTTACTTGACGCCATAATATTAATCTTATATTAAAATTAACAGTTATATAGACAATTCCAAAACGTTGTGGATATAATCCAATAGAGACGTCGGCATAGTAGAGTCCAGTTTTTGGTACTTTGTACGAACGATCATTCGCACTCCATGATGAAGTTGTGTCAATTGATATATCTTCAAATAATATTCTCCTTCTAACTACGTTATTAACGCTTTTTGTTTTATAGGCAAAAAATATAGGCCTATTTTGGGATGTATCCAATTGGAAACCTGTTAAATAAGTTTCCAAATAGTTTGTTGACCTCGATTCACCTTCCAATAGTTTTAAACCAATATTATCGCCAGCGTTTAATTGGATAATAAATCCTCTGGACGCTTGATCAAAGGCGTTAAGGGCTCTATGATTTCTTATAATAGATAATTCGGATTTGTTGTTACGATTGTTAATGTCCAGCGTTAACCACGCCTTTTCTTTAGCATTGAAGCCTATACCAATGTTTATATAGTATAGACCGCTGGTCGAAATTCTTAACTGTCTTTTATCGGCTGTTGGCACAACTCCTCTTAACGTTACAACTCTTTCAAACGGTAATAAACCAGTAGTCCCGTTTGATGATGTAACTCTACCAACAAAAAAACCATTGTTTGTCTCATAACGAAACGTAGTCCACGACATATGTTGACCGGAAGTTGAACTTGCTATTGGAGTAAGAAAATCATTGTAAATGTATGGATTAAATAGAGGCGTAAGTGAAAATAATCCAGATCTAGCTGATATATCCGATGTAGCTGATATAGAAGTTTGTACAGTTAACCTTGAAAGGGCAATGTCAACACCAAAATCTTTCATTATTAGATTAGCTGAGTGTGAATTTCTTGTTGAAATTGATATTGATGTAAAGAAAAATCCTTGTTGTTCAACATTCAATGAATTTGTTGTTGTGTTAAAAAAATTTCCTTGTTCTGTTGAAATTACTTGCCATTTTACTCTTCCCTCTGGAATTCTCGTATTTCTTACTATACTTACCATAGACGATTGAGAATTTGCCACGTTACAAGGAGGATTTAAACATATATCAACGTCAACCGAACTTCCGGGACAATCGTCACCTCCGTTCATTGGAGGTGGACTATCGCAATTTCTTGTACGAATTCGAAGACCATCTCCGCAGGATGGTTCGCAAGAACTCCAATCCGACCATGTTGACCAACCTC